GATGCCGGCAAAGCCAGTTGAGCTGGTGGGGATGACTTCAACCCCTGACCCATGTTTTCATAGTTAAGGTCATGTCTCCTCTCACGGAGTTCTTCGGCAATCTTTCCCCATAACCATCCAAAGGTTCTCCTACGGGATCCATTTGAGGACTCTCTGATTTTGTCAGTGCACCTCCTCAGCATCGGAACGGCTTTCACCTGATGCCAAAGCCAGCTGTAGAGTGTCGCCTCTGCAGGGCGGTCTCCTGGGCGCAAGCCATGCAAGATGTAATTGCCACGTTTCACAAACTCTGCAAGATCCTTCGCAATCTTTCCCTGCAATTGGAGCTGTAAGAGATGCATTTGGTTCAAAGCGATGGATTGGTCCGGACCTGTTTCGTAAAAGGCAATAATGATGTGCATGAGAGCCATGCCTTTGGGTCCCTGCTGTTTCGCTGAACATGATTCCACCCACGACGTGAGTTCGTGCGCTAGCTCTGAGTTTGTGGCCAACACCTCTGGTTTAATCAGCTCGGCCGCCACATGTTTATTGAATAACAAAAAGTCATTCGAACTCTGAAGATAATCTCGGAACCGTCTACCTCGACCACCTTCCATGCACCATGTGGCAAACTTCACTAGCACATCCCGGTTCGTCATGTCAACCCTGCTAACTGCGGCCAAGAATGCCGCACGCCACTCGCGACACGAAGTCGCGTCGCTGGGAAGCTTGGTAATCTGAATGGACTTGAGGTGCTTGTGCTTGTAAACACTTTCATCAGTTTCATCTGGCAACAACCAACCATCTTTGGGAGCCTGATTAAAACCATCCTCATTTGAGTCCTTCGATGATGATGACGAACCATTTGTTGGTGAACTGTTCTTGGGTGTGTGAATGGAAAAGGATGGAATCCCACCATGTTGTGAGCCCTGAAGTCCAGCAGGTTTCGGTTTCTCACCTTGTTGTCCTCTACCTGGTACAATGTACCCGGCTTGGATTCTGGGGCCATTCGGGTCAAAACCACCCCATTGATTTGTTATACCACCATTTGATCCAACCCCAAGACCACAACCAGTCTGAGCCATCAGCCCCCCTGAAGCTAAGTTCCCACTCTGCGCGACATTTGACGCGCATCCTCCAGGAAACCTCGCTGAGATCGCCATAGGTGCCGCGGCCGCAGCTGCGATAGACGCGCTGCTAGCTGCCACACCTTGCAATGCTCGGAAGCTGGATGGTGCCAAACTTGGAGGCGGACATGGTGCTGGGTCAAAACCATGATCCTGAATTCTATTCAAATCCGCGCCATTCTTGGCTGTCAATGTGCTCAGTAATGTTGAACATCTCCAACATGACGGTCGTCCAATGACATTCTGTGATCCACAGCATGTACAGTACATCACTTCCAGAGGATTGGCACTAGCAATACTAGCACCTGCTGACATGATTTCAGTTGGCTGGGCTGATTGGTAAGCTTGGGGTAGATGTTCAAAAGGATTCCCAATAGGTGACATCATCGTCCCAGATGTCGATCCTACCCGTTCAGGATGGGTCATGATCACCTCCAATTTGGAGCTAAGTTCCTTGAGCTCCGCCACAGCCCTCTGTCTTTCAGATTCGGCCTGCAACTTCACGAAGTTCACTTGGCCCTCAGCCGACTTGCGGCTATCCTCAAGTTCTGCCTGTAGCCTCATGTTGTCTTCGGACAACTTCTTAATCTGGTTGACGGCTTCTTGTTGAAGTTGTTCAAAACGTTGTTGTGCCTGTTGATGAGTTTGTCTCTCTCTCATCTCAAGCATCTGTTTCTCTTGGTTGAGTTGTTGCAACTTTTGGTACACCTGATCTTGCAACATTTGGTGATTGTTTCCTGCCTGTTGCCTGATGCTTTCAACTTCTTGTTGCGCTTGCTGTCGGAGTTGCTGATAGTTTGCCTCTGCCTTTGCGTTTACCAGTGATTCCAGCAATTGTTCCAACTGTGTAGGGTCTATCTGGTTGACCTGTTGTTGATACATATGTTGTTGGATGGTATTGTGCTGATGAAGACTAGGGGGAACACCGTGTTGACCCGAAGCTGAACTTCCACCCCATTGAGCTGAACCACCAGATGCCGCAGCTGACCCCTGTCCTCTCTTCAGCCTGTTCGCCAAAGATATCGCCTCCTGAGTCGGGTTGGCAGGTTGGTCACTAATGTGCATCATTGCAGCTTGCTGAGATTGCTGTTCTGCAAGTTTCTCTGGGGAGTCAGTCGATGAAGTCCATGTACTGTTGGGTCCGTCCACTTTGAATGGGGTCGCCGGCACCTCCCTCTTCATGTTTTGGCACGGGAACTCAAATTCAGGGAACTTGTCAATGCCAATCAGCTATGCAAAATTGCGCCAGATGGCAGCGAGCAAAACTGGCAGTGCAAACTTCTCCAACAAATCGCGCAAGCGCGAGAAGGAGGGCAAAATGCCGAACACCAAGCTTGCAGTGAAACAACCTGTTGCGGTGAAACTATGTTGCAGTGAAACTTGAAACAAGCAAAAATTGCGGTGAAACTCCTTGGCAACAATTGCAGTGAAACCTCGTTCTTGCTCTTGCTCTTGCTCTTGCGCTTGCGCCGCTGAGAAATGAGTCAATGAACAACTCCTCAAGATGTCCTGCACTCCTTCACCAGAGGCTTCGCAAGAAGCTGGGCAACCCGAAATCTGCAGCCGACTCCTCCTCCAGTAGATCGTCGAGCTCCTCAAGAGCTGCCGATGGCCGATTGGCGTGCGAGATCAACACCCGACACCTGTTGCCAGCGGCTCGACGAGCCTGAAGTTGCTCCACCTCCTGCAGGAGGGAGCGCTGGTCATCCACAAAAATGGCCGCCCCCACACGGCAGACTTCTTCTGCCTTAGATGTGGCACAGCCCGTGAGCGATGGCCTGTCACGGGCAGGATCCGAAGTGAACTTCCGGTTGACCACGTGGATGAACCTGAAAGCTCGTGTCAACTCAGTCTCAAGATCACGTGCCTCACGAAGCACCCTGGACTGAGTGGCTGGCGCCGATGCGAAGGAGCAAATGCCAAGATCGTAGCCCAATGACTGAGCTCGTCGAAGCGTCTGCTTCACCCTCTCGGGCACGTAGGATCCACCACTCTGAGACTCAAAGGACAGCGTCCGATGCCAATCAAGAACTATGAGCGGTCGCTCAACCGAAGTTCCTGGGCGAGTAGATGCCACCGATGAATCTGGAGATGAACGAGGTTCGGCCTTTGCCTTGGCCACCACTGTTGCCTTTGGAGCAGCCTTAGGCTCCGCGGGCCTCAACGATCCCCTTGACCCGGTGCGAGAAACTTCACTGGTCCCTGCCGTCGATGATGTCCTGGCCGGAACTCGAATGGTCCTCCTTGTGGTCACTGGAGTCGATGCTGAGGCTGTATCGCGCTCTGCGCGAGCTGTTCCAGATGTCCTCACCCCTCTTTCGCGCTCAGCGCGAGCTGATGTCTCCGCCGGCCGAGTTCGATCTTCGCGCACAGCGCGAGCTGATGCTTCCGCCGGTCGAGGTCGATCTCCACCTTCGCGCACTGCACGAGTTGATGTTGTCACCAATCGAGATGGATCGCCGCTTTCGCGCGCTGCGCGAGGTGATGTTGCTGGATGAGATGGAACTTCCCTTTCGCGCTCTGCGCGAGGTGATGTTGCTGCCCGATTGGATGAACGTCCCTCCACAACACCAGCCGAGTCCCGTGAGCTCCTGCCTTCCACCCCTGTCGGAGTTTCCGCCGAAGATCGATCAGAACGCCTTGGCACTGGTGCCACTGAAGAAGATGTCAACCGAGGACGAGACGCCGAAGTTGGCTCAGAATCACCAGCAGGCCTGTCCCTCACGTCAGCCTGCTCTGGGACCCAAACCCACCTCCACTCACCCCTAGCACCCGGTGCCGGTGGTGGTGGCTGAGGTGGCTCCGGAGGTGCCCGACCAAGTTCCTCTGCTGTAGCAAAATCGATTGCTGAAGACACACCGCGGTTGTACCTGTTCAATTGGCTGGACCTCCACGGGTTGCCCCCTCGTCTGCCACGAGTTCGAACTCTTGATCGGGAACGGTCACGTCTATGATCAGACATGCAGTCGCGCCAATGGCGGCGAAAGATGGGAAAATTGTCGCGCAAGCGCGAGTGAAAGATTGAAGGTGCCAATGAAAGAACAATTCAGTGATCTATGCAATTGAAGTCTTAGATTTCTTGCCGATATGTTCAGTCTTTCAATAGCTCCCAATTGATCTCACAACTGCCGAAATAAGCCGGGCTACGGCTGATAACCACAAAATTCCAGTAAATCCAGTGAATGCGGGGATTGTACCAGAAGTAATATTCACGTGTATTCAAGATGCAGTAGTCAACAGATGTAACAATGGCCAGTGACACTAAGCAACAACACCTGTTTTAGCGGGCACCTTGAGCCAAACGTTGTTGGCCAAGTAAATGGTTTGATGACCAAAACCCCGGATTACAGGATTAAGGAAATGAGTTATCATTGTTGATAACTATTTGAATAGTCTATTCCCGTTGTAAAAGCCCTGACATTATGTACACTCTACAGTCAAAGGCAACAACAATATAGTGGGCTCCGTTTTGGGACCACTATGTGGTATGAACATGCATACACGGCATAGGGGTTATTCGAGTATTTTCTACTGTTAGAAATGGTAACAACTCCACTATGAAGGCATGTTGCCCTCGTGTAAACTGTAAACTATCAAATCAACTCACTGAAAGAGACTTGGGTCCATTCCTTCCAAGACAATTTTCCATGAATCCCCCAAGTAATCAAATCTGCAACATCAATCAAGTATTCTCGAATGGTAGTTTTTTCATACACATGAGTACATCCATGTCACATCACGCAAAATGATAAACAGCTCACAAAGCTGATGTGTTGATACTTGTGCAGTTGAGAGTTCGCTGGATTGCACAAAACCAGCGATGCCCAACAGCTCAATGTCAATACTGAAAGCATGATGGAGTGACTGTGTTGGGTTAAACGCATGCCGCGGTGCATCGCGATAAGGCTCCAATTTCGCCATACATGCCTCGTATAAGGGCCAAGTGGAATTGGTATGAATTGGTGCCTAAAATCACCAGTGCTTCTCTATCTTCTCTCCACCAAACAATACAAAGGTGACCACAACTGAATCTTAACAATGCATGGTGGAATATGGTGGAATGATGTGAAAAGCATGGAGGAGCATCCCATGAGCCAATGGTCCAATGGGCCTTGCATCCGAGTCTCCTTGGTAAATCTGAAATCGCTACTCAAGCGACTCCAATCAAGTCTTAAGAGCGTCCGGCGATCATCCGAAGCGATTTGAAGCCTCCTCTGAGGGAAGAACCATAACCAAAACAGTTGGCATTTCCGCAGCCTCAGGCACAGGTTGCCAGAGGAGTCCACGAGAGAACACTTCCCAGCTGTTTGTACACTTCGTTTCCCTTGAATTCCCAGGCAAGGTGGGAATTCTGGGAATTGAGTGTGCCTTTAGTATGTAGCTTCAACCAGCAGTGTTTCACATCAAGTGACCTGCTGGAGCAACAGTCGCATGGTTCTGGGGCATCTTCACGTTTCTGCGCCTCCTCCTCTTCGATGATTTCGTCAAAGTCATGGTCCAGGTGCGTGCACGATTGCACCCTCAGGCGGTGGTGGAAATCTGGCATCTTACACCCCCAAGCGACTCAGGAAACTTGGAATTCAATTCTTCAAAAAGCCAAGCCAACCCTTCAAGACAGTCTTGTGCTGACAAGTGGCAGCGACTCGCCTGACCCTTCCTGCTTCTCGTGTTCATGCTCGCAAATTCCCAAGCCTCCCAGATTGCCGGCGAGTCATTGAATGAAAATGGTTTCTAGCCCTTGGCTGCTCTTGGCCGAACTTTCTGGACTCCGGAGTGTCGGATTTTCACGAACCGTCTGAGTATTTCAGGAAATTCTGTGGGCAATTGCACTTTGAAGATTCATCAAATGTGTTAACCCTGCTTTACTCCTCAATTCACTAGCAGCTCGTTGCAATATCTGGCTTTCATGAAGCACACCGCACAATGCCTCTCCAAATGGCTGTGGCAGAAGAGCAGCTGATAATTCCATACACAAGCGCAATGAATGGAGGCACCACATACCTGAGCACAGCTTCTCCAAAGGTGCTGTGCTGTACATATTTGTACGAGCATTTTCACTGAACAAGCTATGGAAAGCCCAAACAAACGCGTTGCGGGTCTTTTTCATTCTCGGGTCATGCAAGCCAAGCCAGCTGAAGAGCTTTCCCCAAAAAAAACTAAACCTCAGAGATGAAACCGCTGCATCTCACCAACATCCCGCAGCAAGTTGGAAGCAGGCCACGTGGCGTAGAGATGGACCCCAAAGAGGTATATAAATGGCCAAACCCGCTCCCAGATTTCTTGAAGACCTGAAATGTGACTCTTGCGGCACAAAGTCTCGTCTCAAAACACCAACAGGGGGACACACGATTCTTCACATCTCTCGCACTGCAATTTCAATTCTCAAAAAAACGTCAAGACACCCTGCCCCTCCATAAATTTGCTTCTTCACCCCAGCCTGTCTGCACAGAACCAAAGAGGTACATGATGCTGCAGACCACAACAGCAAACAATAGCCAAATGACTTTGAATAGACCTCAGGATGTTCAAATTTAGCCCAGGAGCAGAGACAAAATGTGCTTCGGAAGGAACTATCCTTCAAGACAATAATCTCGTTGAATGACCGCCATCCAGGTGACAAATGTGAGTTTAGTCCTCTCGCCAAAACATGGCATCCAAAACGCAGTCAAAGATCAGCAGCATTTCGTGAAAAGAATCGACCAGGCTGCTAGAAGAATAGCGGTGGTGTAGCTGAGCACCATGTATGGAATGACGTAGGGAAGCAGCAACAGCGCATAGACTTGCTTAGGAAAAGCCAGCCAGCGTGCCCCGCCGAGAAAGAACGGGAATCTGATATTTCCAAAGCCCCAGCAGCTGGCCTCATTCGTCATTCACCGGTGTGGCAGAACGTCTTTGTTGAGTCCCAGCAACACAAAATCCGGGATGTTGAATGTTGCTTGACTTTCTGTCATACTTCAGAGTGGTTTCACCGCTAAAGTCGTCCGATTAACAGTATTGACTTGAGTCATTGAGTAGTGCCCAAAGTCTGAAATGTTGACTGCTTGAATTCCAATGATCTCCATCAAAATCAGTATACAAATAACATCAAATAACTAAACCTGCACGGCTGTGACCATTAACTACTGGGGGTGAACTTGGCACGGCTCATTTCTTGTCAAGGAACAGCTTCCAGGTATCTTGACTTCTCAATGTCCTTCTTGAAAATCACTGCAGGACTTTGTATGGTGAAGGAGCCCCACAGACCCAGTGATGCTGAGAAATTGTGGGAGGTGCACCAAATCGCCAGGAACACCAAGGAGCTTTGCCAAAGGTTATCCAAGTTGTTCTCCTGCGCAATGTGGGGTGCAGGGCCACATTGAAACATCTGCAGCCAGGGGGAAATGGCATTGGACACTTTACCTCAGCTTCTTAGCAACTACCCAACCCTGCCTCCCGACTCTGAAACTTGCGATAATCGCTGATGTAAGAATTGAAGGCCAAGAAAATGAAGGCCAACTTGGCCAGATAACCCACGAAGAAGCTAGCTAGCTTCTTCATGGCACTTCCTTTCTTGAAGTCAGTTTTGAAGTCAAAGCCAAAGACACAGAAAGTCAAGAGCTGCTTGATGCCGTTGGTCAACGGAAGCATGTAGATTGGTTGCATTTCATGCGGACACATCAGGTTCGCAAAGGGGCCGCTTTTGATTGTATCGTCATCATCATCGTCATACAAGGTCAGAGCCTGCAGCTCTTGGAGGCCCTACAGGATGGAAATTTGGCCCTAGGTGTGCTGACTTGGTGCATCTTGGGAGCCTGCAAAGATCTTGAGGTCTCTGCCTGCAACAATGATCCATGGCCCCATGGCAAGAAAATGCGGTCATATGTGATTGACCCAAAAAAAAATGAAAAAGACTCAGAATGATCACAGTTGCACTTGCATTCCATCACAACAAACTACCCAGACCCTCCACAGCTCCATGTGCCTCTGAATTCCAACTCAAGCTGAAACACAACAAAGCACCGCCCACCAGTCCCACAGCTTGCCATGGGCGCCATGATGGGCCGGGCGGTGCCATGGCTCAACAGGGCGATTGTCTGCAAGTGATTGCAAATGATTGTATTCCCCACAGGCTGATGCTCAAAGTCAGTCGTCATGCGCAGTGGAAAGCTCGGCCTTCAATCGGCGACTTACTGCGCCGCGTAAAATCGTGGAACGAACGCGCTGCAGGGGTGAGTGGTTTTTCAATGGTCTGCTTTTGTCGTCTGTAAGCTGCAACTCAAAGCCCAAAATCAGATTTGTCTCTTGTGCAGCAAAACAATGGGAGAAAACCAAAAATGAGGCACGGAGATCTCCATTGGCACAAAACTCGTGGTTCCGTCAGTGCCAAGAACACTACCCTAGTCCTCTCCAAGCCAGGTGCAGGGTCGAAGCCTGACCAGAGTTTCCCCAACCGCCCGTTAGAAAGTGGTATCATAGACCTCATTACTCAGCTACTCTATCAGTTGGGTTCTAATTCGTCCAATCTTTCCAAAACGAAATGTCCGAAATGATCACATATAAATAAGATTAAATAAGTATCATATCACATATACATATACGTATACCATCCCATCATTCCAGCCAAAGCAATTCTGAACACTGAGCTATTCGCAAGCCAGGCATTGTGCGTTGCACCGCCTTCTGCTGGTCCACGTTGTGGTGAACCTGGACAGCGAACGTTGAAACTATCCAAGACACTGGGAGTTCTGGGACTTCAGATCTCGGAAATGACTGGAAAACTTGGAGGTGACAACCAAAGTTCACACTATCCGAACTTTGGGGTAACCAACTCTGACCTATTCTTGACAAAGCAAGTGATGTCAAGCAAATCATTGAGAGCTTCAAGATCAGGCAACAAAGGCAAGAGATAAAGTCGACACCATTGCCTGACGGATATAAATAAAAAGCCGATGCCATCTGCACTCATCGGCTACCTACAGTCTGCAGTCGCAGGAAAAAGACACCATGTTTGCTGTTAATCGTGCAAAGAATCTGGAATCTTCAAGAGAGAGCATTCCCATCAAATTCGGGGAAAGTTGAGCCAAACAGTGCCATACCGCGGTAAGATACAGCCCAACAATTCTCGGCCCAAGAAATCTCAGAAGCAGACATCCACAGATCGCATGTAGTCATCATAGTAGACACCGAAGGATTGCAGCACGAACCAGCGCCTTAGGCCAGGCCCAGCATTACTCCCAGATGGGCCTCCCCAATTTACAGGGCCCGAACCTCTTGCCAGGGTGACAGACAGAACAATGCAGTGCAAAAGGGAATTTTGAAACATAAAACACGGTTGTCATCTTGTTCTAAGTATACGGCCAATGCTCATGCGATGCTGCGATCCTGCAAAAACTTCAAGTCAAACATGAACTGAAGGTCGCAATTCATCCCATTTTTTCGGACATCAATACTATGCGAATGAGCACAATTTGGAACAAAATTGAGTGGTCAGTGATCAGCGATGATACATCAATACATTTTTTTTCAGACATCAATACTCTCTGTTTGAACTGCTTTCAAAGGCACCTTCCAACCAGGTTGTCCAAAGAGCATGTTCGGGACAGCGATGATACATCTAGAAAAGACCTTGCAAGCAGTATTTTCTGGTTACCAATGCTTACCAGCTTGACACTCACATTGCTGAAGTCGTTACAAACTGAGATGCGATCAACAGCAGGGAAAGAACATCAGCGCGTAGGTCGGAAAGCGAGTCGCTCCACCTGACGCCAAAATCATAGCCAGAAGCCCCAAACTGACAGGCCTTTGCACAGCCAACAAATAGTGTACCTTTGAAATGATACAACCATAAGAGTACCACCAAAGTCTCCTGCCAAAACCGGCAATCTGGCACTATCCTTTTCAAATGAACAAAAATGGGGCCCGGCACGCACCAGCCTTGCCGGCACACAGCTCATCTCCAGCATCCATTTTGCAAAAGAAATGCAGAACTCGGATCTGAGTTGTGGCTCAGCCGTGGGGCGCTTCCAACATGAAAAACATGTTTTGGGCCACGCCGTTCCTCGGCAAAACTACGGACTTGGAACTGAGTCATGCGAAGGTGCAGGAAATTCATCCTAAGATGAGAAATATTAGCGAAGTCGGGCGCGGGATGAGTTTGCATATGGCAGTGTCTGAAAATGGGAGGCGAGTTAACCGTAAAGTAACGAGTTTAATGGGGAAATCCCAACAATAAACCCCCATGGATTTTGGGGTAACCAACTATCAGAGACAAACATGCTGAAACGAGTAGATCTAATTTGCTGTGGTTTTTTCTGATTTTTTATATTCTGTTTCTTGAGCAAATCGAGTCTGCATATCATCCAGAAAGGTTGAGAAAATGCCATTCGCAATCTGCAAAATCAATATGTCTTCAGCTCCAGAAGGACACTCAGCAAGTTGTCGAACTCACAAAGTTGGAGCAGCAAACCAAAAGTACCGGTACGCAAAAGATGGAACTTCCCTGGACTTTTTGGATCGGAGTAATCGGAGAAGTCAGAAATCTCAGAAATCTCTTTGCCTGCGTGGCTATAACACGACGGCTTGACTCGACCGACAGCTTTTGAAATGATCAAGAACTCATATTGTTTCGCCATGGAAAGATCCGAAATGAGTACCTGGAGACTTTGCACGAAAAGAACTCGAACCTGTCAAGTAACATCATCGCTGAAGAATGGAAAATCCTCAAGTCCCTGAATATCTCATATGTTCAATTTCACCCAATGGGTCTCAGCCTGTGCTCATAACCCTTGCACAATGGTCTCCCATACTGCATTCAGGCAGGCAAATAGACAAATGGATCGAAAAGTTGAACGAAGTTCGTGTTTGCCGCGACTGTATACATAGTGTTTTGCTTAGCACTTCCACGCAAGGTTCTGATTTATTTTCTCTATCTGGCTGTGCCTCACATTGATGCCAACGCTGCCTCGCAAAGTGGTCAGTAGGACGGCGCTCTGCCTGACAAGACTGAACCATGGGTGTTGCTTGCATCTACCAATATCTTACCATTGGGTTGTGATGCATTGAGTCCTTTTTGGCATGTGTGCAGAAGCACTACTGTCTGTCAGGAATATGCCGCGCTTAGTGGTGGCTCCTGCAAAATCGCCAACTCGCTTGAACTTCAATGCGTCCATGCTAAATCGTGCTGGGGAAAGGACCCTGGAATAGGAGCCGCGCAAAGACAATGAGGTCCACGGTGAGAGCAAGCACCACGAGAGCAGAGACATTGTGCAGAATCCCTTTGGAAGTGAGAAGATCTGGAACAGAGCGGAAAGCCGTCCAAAAATGCTGGAAGTGCTTGTAGCACACTGCAAGCATGATCAAAGACACCAATAGTTTCAACCAGAATGCGTTCTCATGCCACATACGTTCCAAGCAGCCAGGGTTTCTTGTGTCCGTCTGCACACGGCAAGCGCATGAACAACGAAGAAATCCACAGCAAGCCCGCAGAGATGCAATGCTGACCAGTGTGCACAAGAGCAGTGCTGGGGAGAGATTCAAGGTGTTCAGCATATGGTGGATGATGCACGGATGTGAATCCCGCAAAGCAACGTAGGTGAACATGCAAAGTACTCCATAAGCCGCACACCTCTGTGCAGCAACAGAGCTCTGGCAGCTCACGGTTTCAAACAGCAAGCCTCGCTTTTCAGCATAGGGCAAACAGTTCTGAGCACAAATGCGAGCTGGTTCCAACTCTGCCATGGTCGAAATCCACATGAGAGCTCCTTGAAGCAAACCGACCAAAGCAAGACAAAGCAGCAACCAGCAGAATGTGCTCCAAACGTGCACTGGGCCGTTCGAAATGTCGTCTTGTGAAGCTTTCAAGGGGACCTGATTGCAGAAAATGATCGCAGCAATCCATGAAGACGTCACAAAAGCCAACTCCTCAATCGCCCACATGTGCCACTTCCATTTGCCGTTTTTCCTCGGATCTCTCGGTGGCATGGCACCTAGAAATGTCTCCTGTAGGCCGCGGGATGCTTGGGACAAATCGCGAAGTGAGAATCCAACTGGAGAGCTGGAGAGTAGCAAGAGGACTGAAGAAAAACAGGCCACTGCAAAGAAAACAGTAGCTTTCCGCTGCGAGCTTAATGCCTGATGCAACAGCTTGTCGGCCTTTTCTTTGTCCATTTTGGCCCGTTCTTGTGCATCCATGGACTTCCAGCTCAAGTCTTCGGCTCGTTCTTGCTCTTTCTCTGCCTTGCGTCTGTCCCCGTTCGCGAAGCTTTTTGCCTCCTGGGATTCGACCAACTCCTTGCCGGCAAGAGCACCTGCAGTCGCCGCTGCTGCCCTGAATGCTGAAGCACTTGACAACGCTTCCTGCATCTCTCTCCTTAGCTTCTCATCATAGTATATAGAGTCTAGAGATATATGATATAATGATCTATAAAGATGATAGAGGTCTAGAAGACCATCAGAACATGAGTGAAAAGGATCCTTCCCAGACCAGAGAGCTCAAACGGGCTGACTAACTCAAGCTCAGCTTCTCAATCTGGAGTCCTTTCTTACTGAGCCTTGCAGCTTTTGCATCACTACGCACAGCTGCAGCTCGTTCTCGTGCAGCAGCTCTGCCTCTATTCATTGCAAGTGCTTCGTTGCGGGCTGCATCCACAGCAAGACCCGCTGCTGCTCCCTCGCCAACAACATCTGCCACGACATCTACAAAGGGAATCCTTGCATTCAAGCAGGGGCAAATGCATGTGAAAAATGATGAAACATGCTTCATCCAAGTGACTTTGCTTTGTGTGCTTGGTACTAGTGGATTTCCAGGGTTCTAGGCTCTAGGTAAGTTCTAAGTACAGTCCAAGAAACCATTCAACAGAAGAAACAGTTGCCTCATCTTCTTCGACTTCGGCAGTGTCTGTCGTTGCTTCCTCTTCATAACGACCAGCCTGTGCTGCATCCGAAGTAGCTTTGGCTTGCATGGCATCAGCAGCCGCCCAAGCTGCACCCGCGGAGACCGCCAAGTCTTTCCTGAGCCCCGGACAGCTGTGGGGCTGGGTTCATCCCCAGCCTACAAATGCCAAGATTGAAAGTAAGACAGTCAAAACACGAGGACAAAACTTGCATAAACAAGTCAGAAGATTCGAAAGTTCCTGGTCGCTTTGACTTGCCTTCTTGTTCTCTTTTGCTTGTTCTGACAACTTGTCAGCCTTTGCCCTGGCCTTCTCTGCAGCCTCTTTCTCAAGTTCGCTTGTATGCTGCTCCTCCTTGGATACCTTGTCTTCAAGATCGGCCGCATGCTTAAGCTCTTGGGATTTGTGGCGATTTTGTTCCGCCACCACAAGATCATCATGGGACCGTTGCTTTTCCGATGCATACTGCTTCATCAGCAAAGAAGTTGCATCCGCATAGTGCGCAACGTTTGCCATCAGAAGAAGAAGGAGGATCAAGAGTAACACCTGGAGAACAACTAGTTATCAGGGAAAAAGGAACAAGACACGATAACTAGTGACTACCAATGCACGGCAACTGCTGGTTTCGTGTTTCGCATTCGCTTACTGCTTGCCTGCACACAGGAGAATTTGGATCTTCGGGAGAAAATAGGGTGCACTTGTTGGAAGTACGCCACCAGAGATGGTGCCAGAAATGTGGATAGGGTCATCCTGGCGAACAGCGAAGTGAAGGGGACTGGGACTCTTTTGCTCTCGAGCCTCAAATTGCTACAGGCAACTGACAGGTACAGCGACAGTTTGATCATTCCCGCTTGTCTTTCCAACTCACGGTGCAAATGTGAGCACTTTTATGACTGGCAGAAATATCAATATCACCATGGCCATCAAGAAAATCTGCATTTTCGTACGGTACATCTGCTGTAGAGACAGTGTTTTACCAATTTTTGCGGAGACTTCAGCAAGCCTCGTCTCACCAGATTTGCTGCCCCTGCTCCTGGACGCGTGGACATTTGGGAAGAGCCAACGACTCTGCTTAAGTAAGATGCTAGAGGTTTTTCAGTGAGCTCTATTAGACTATAAGGGGCAGTAAAACCGTGCGGTCTGCACCTGACAATAACCCTGTTCAATGTCCTGCACCATCCAATGCATCATGAGATGTCAGGCTGACTCGTGAGAAAACATCACCGGGATTCTAACAGAAAGTCAAATTCCCTAAGTGTTCATGGGACAAAGGAACAAATCAATCGAGGATAAAATTGGAAATGCCAAAATGGGTCGCCGAGAACTCACAATAGGATTGGATTTTTCATGCTAGTCTCCTTGCGATTTGTTTGTGGTTGTGTCTGCAATTGTTTCCGTTTGTGTTTGCGTTTCACACCCCTGCAATTGTACCTAAGCATCTGGCATCAATCACTTCAGCCAAATGCTGCACTGCCGAGGGTCAGGGCCATTTCAATTTTAGCCACGCTGAAAAGCATTGGATCTAGTGCCCTAAACCTCGTTTCGAGTACTCATAAACATTTGCTGTTTTGAGGTCATAAATAACCACGGTTTGTCGTTCCCAAGTACTGCCGCGCGTTCGAAGGTCGATATCATCATTTTGCCTTTAAGAACCAATAAAGCGTCTCTGTAAAACCACCATCGAACTGCATCTGGTTCCAAATCCGATTCATATCTGGAAACATAGTCCAGGATCCCCAAGAATCTCAACCAACGTCGCAGCAGTGACTGATGTTGATGTGGACTGTGGCCGTTTTTGGGGCGTGTTCAGCACATCGGAGCTGTTTCAGTCGAATATTCCCCCCCTTTGCTGTCCGGAAAAAAGAAGGTGATCGTTTCTTGTAAAATGAGGTTTGCAAACCAACAATGTGAAAAGAGCTTACCGCGGGGTCAATTCACTTGGCCTGGAATTGGAACCAGGCTGACCCTACCCCTCTAGTTTTCACCCCCCCGACCGCCACTGGCCATGGGTGATGCGTGTCATGATCAAATGCGGCACAAGAGACAAGTAGGTAAGACAACCACAGGTCATGTTTCAAGTACTGTAGTTTGAGGCAAAAATAAAAATCATGAGACGTGTTTGGCCACTTGGAGCAGGAGATCAAATCCCACATGGCAAAGATCTCCACCTCGTCTGCAACCTTGATCGTATCCATGAAACGCGCAGCGGTAAACTGGAACAATTTTCACCCCCGTCAAGTTGTAACAATGACACTGCGTACAGCAGGTGACCCATTCGAATGGCTAGGTTGACCGATTTGCAGCCAATTTGACTCTGACGTGGAAAACTGTCAACTCTATGTTGGCGTTGGTCTGGAGTCACTCACATCATGTCACCCATAATGTTTCCTGAGTCGGCAGTCTGATTACTAAACACCCTTTCGGGTGTCTTAAAATCCTGTCGATCGTGGTGCGGTATTCCATTACTGCGTTCAAACAATCCGCAACAAAGCAAATAGCATGAGGCCACCAACCCTAGGATGGCCCAAAACTCTAGATCACAGCCAAGTGGTGACATTTCAAGGTGACGCAGGAGGCTGGAAACTGGTATAATCGAATCTGAATGCTAAGCAAAGGCCATGGGAAAGTTTTGTTTTGCGTTGAATCCCCAAACGAAAAGGGTAGCAAATGATACTACGGGGGCATTGTGCACTACAAGTAGTACCACACAAGGCGGTGGCGGAAATTTCAAAAATAGGAAACCTATAGGAGAGGTTTGTTGTCGTGAATCACGGATGGCAGAGCGAATCCACTGATGGACCGGAAGGTGGTTGGCGTTGTGTTTTTTGGAGTGGTTGTTGAAGTGGTCACCTCACCAACGACTGCTGGATGTAGTGTGGTGCATGTGTAGTTGTAGGTGTAGTGTAGTGTAGCGGAGTTGTACTTGTAGTGTAGTGTAATTAGTGTAGCGTAGTTGCAGTTGTAGTTGTGGTGTGATGTAATGCGTGTAGTGTAAGGTAAAGTAGTGTAGTGTGGTGTGTAGTGTAGTGTAGCGTAGTGTAGCGTAGTGTAGTGTAGTGTAGTGTGCTGTAGCGTTGTGTGCTGCAGTGTAGCCTAGTGTGGTGTAATGTGCTGTAGTGTGCTGTAGTGTCGTGTGCTGTAATGTAGTTTAGTGTAGTGTTGTGTAGTGTTGTGTAGTGTAGCGTACAGTAGTGTAGTTGTAGCTGTAGTTAGTGTAGTGTAGCGTAGTGTAGTGTACTGCAGTGGCGTGTAATTAGTGTAGTGTCATGTAATTACTGTAGTGTTGTGTCGTGTTGTGTAGTGTTGCGTACTGTTGCGCATTGGTAGTTGTAGTTGTAGCTGTAGCTGTGGTAGGATTTTGTCGGCCAGACCACAGTTTATTCTAATTTAAACGCGACAAAAGCAAAAAAAAAAACAAAAAGCAAATCAGCAAAATCCAACAAACACAAAAGCAAAATAAAAGGCAGAAAAAAGGGAAAAAAAGGAAAGACGAAAATGGAAAAAACTGGAAAAATGGAAAAAATGGAGAAAAAAATGGATTCGTCCATTTGCATTTTTTTTGCATTATTTATTTTGTTTTCTCGATTTGTTTTTTATTTATTTATTTTGTATTTTGTTTTTTGCCTGGAAAAAAACAAATAAAAACAAAAAACAACTCGAAAAAACAAAATAAATGCAAAAAAATGCAAATGGACAAATCCATTTTTCCATTTTTTCCCTTTTTGACGTTCCTTTTTGTCCCCATTTATTTTGCTTCCGATTTTTTTCAGTTTTGAAGTTTTGCTTTTTGATTTTCCATGTGTTTTCCTTTTTTTGGGCATTTTTTCAACTTTAAAAATCATGAGGATAAGCAGTTGAGGTGAACATAATAGTAGGAAAAAGATTGCCGAAGGAAGTTTAGAAGTCAAACTTCCAACAATATGGACAGATGAAAAGCAGAGATGGGAAGAGTCAGAGAAGAGAAGAGAAGAGAAGAGAAGCGAAGCGAAGAGAAGAAGATCAAAAAAGAGAAAGTCTCAGAAGAAAGAAGATCCAGGCGCGCGAAAAGGTAGGAAAGTCGCTAAACACCTTGTGTTTTCCAATGATTTGTGGCTCCGGAGGGTCGAAAAGTAGGCTCGCTAAAGCGGCGGGTGCAAAGCCAGCTGGCCAGATGAGAGATGAAAAATTGCACGCCGTTGTGGTGCGAAGCACATTTTGAAGTCAAAATGTACAATATGCGACCCAAACCAATTGTTCCAATCGCAGTAGAGTTGGTATCCAAGGTCATCTCTCACAAATGATACTTGGCACCAACCAATCACAGCAATAAAGGTCAATCACCGTTGACAAATAGTCAGTGTTTTGCTAATAGAGCGACAGGCTCCATAATATGGTACCACGCCATCACGGAAGGAACGTGATGGCGGTGTAAAACGTGAGAAATAAGCTATGGCGTTTCAGCCAAAGCGTCTGATTCTTACACCAAATTCAGATGCGAATGTATCATTCTGCAGCAAATCGTCCAGTTAAGAAGGTTGCGGTATAACCAAACCGCTTCAATCCAACTGAAAATCCACCATACGCAGAAATAAATCTCACGATAGGACGATAGGACGACTTCTCCTGGTGAGCCTCGTTAGCACAACCACTGGCATGGATGTGTATGATTTGCTTGAAAGTGCTCAATTCTTGGCTCACACTCAAAATTGATTGAGTAGTGAGTCTAGTAGTGAGTCTTTCTTTGCGTTAATCTCTTCAAATTCTGTTGTAAAATGTAAAAGTTTTCAGAATTGAAATTTGTTTCGATCGGTTTTAAACTATTAGACGTTAAACTGTCGAGAAAGTGCACGCCGTTGTGGCGCGAAGCACATTTCGAAGTCAAGATGTACAAAACACACCAGGTTCGGAGCACTTTTGGAAGTTGAGATGTTGAAAATGTGCACACCATTGTGGCGCGAAGCACATTTCGAAATCAAAATGTACAACACCTCTTCATGTTCGGACCCTTTTGGAAGTTGAGATGTCGAAAAAGTGCACCCCGTTGTGGCGCGAACCACATTTCGAAGTCAAAATGTACAAAACATCTCATGTTCGGAGCACTTTTGGAAGTTGAGGTGTCGAAAAAGTGCACGCTGTTGTGGCACGAAGCGCGTTTCGAAGTCAAAATGTGCAAAACACACCAGGTTCGGACCACTTTTGGATTTTGAGATGATGAAAAATTGCGCGCCGTTTTGGCGGGAAGCGCATTTCTAAGTCAAAATGTCCAAAACACACCAGGTTCAGAGCACTTTGAAAGTTGAGATGATGAAAAAGTGCACGCCATTGTGGGGCGAAGCACATTTAACATGCACCATGTTCGGACCACTTTTGGAAGTTGTGATGTCGAAAAAGTGCACAAAGTCAAACGTGTAAAAAACTAGAAGATTCGGAGCACTTTTGGAAGTTCAGATGTCGTTGTGCA